TTCTTGATTTCTATAGATGACAAAATTAATCTCTCACTTTAGTAGAAAAACATAGACTTGGGATATTCATATTTTGTTGCATCGTGTTGTTAAAGCATAACATATAATATTTACATATTATACATTCCTGCAAACATAACATTATTCCTAGCAGCTGGAGTTTGCTGTCTATGACTACATATCTGTGCCACTTTCAAGTCTAATTTTTATTTACAATGACGCAGGCATGTACTTAGCGTAAACTTCCATGTAAAACGAATGGATACATCGGTGTGTCATACAAAGCCATGACCCGCTCCTTACGAACAATAGTGTCAACAAGCTGTCCCAGGAAGAACAGCGTAACAAGGAAGCGTGCAGAGCGGACAGAGTGTCTGCAGTATCACACTCACATAGAACGTTCAAAATCCACAGCCTCAGCAAAATAACCAGTGTTAACGAAGAGCCAAAAAGCCAACCCACTATAGTATATAAAATAGTAAAAACAAGAAAAAAGTAAAGCTATCTCTGTAAACAGGACGTGAAGTCCCAAGGGGTTGATAGACGTCGAGGCTCCCATATTTTCTCTAGGCAATCGGCTCATAAGAATGTCAGCCTCAAGCGCCGGCAGCTCATCACCCCCGGGAAGATCCCTGGTATTCATTTCTGTTTGAGGCTGAGTGACCCCAGGGCCAAAGTACGGCTGGAAGGATTAGGTCAATTGAAAAATTCTGTGACCTCATTGTGAATCGAACCCGCAAATTTTCGGCTTATTGCAAAGTGCCTCAACCAAATACGAAACCGCGTGTCCTCTATATAATATATTACATAGCATAAACAATGTATTAAGGGCAAAAATAGTAAACCTATCCCTGTAACAAACGGTGGAGGTTCACAGGGTTGTGAGGCGTCGAGATTCCCACATTTTCTAGACAATCGGCTCACAAGTGGCGGTGAGGTTATCAAGCCTTATGTGCCGGCCGCTTTTTGCCCCCAGGAAGATACCTGGTATTCATTTCTGTTAGAGGCTGAGTCCACCTCAGGGCCATAGTGCGACTGGAAAGATTAGATAAAATGGCGCTGGGGCAGGTTTTCTCCGAGTAATTTGGTTTCCCCTGCCAATCTTCATTCCACCAATTGCTCCACAATCACCCTCACCTATCATCTGGGGCTGGTACAATAGGCCAGAAGTAGCCGCAGTACAAGGGACTTAGTCCCACCCCACTAGCTTGTAACATAGTGCCAAGACTATTTCGCGGGGTCATCAGAACATTTCATTAAAACTTATGGGATCAATACAGGAAGCAGGAAATGCAATCAATGCTGGAAGTAACTGAGTGTGAGACAGGGAACTGAGTCACTGTAACGATTCGAATGAGAATCTCAGATTTTGAACTACTGATTGCCGAAGCATTACATTAGTCTATAGGAACTGAGTATCATTCCCAATTCTGTCCGAACATAGACAAATGTATTACAAATATTCCACACATATGTATACCAAGACGATGGCCTGCCATCTCTATATAATTATTTGTCATTCAGTACACTGATCAATACATTCCTTTTACATTTCTGGAATTCTACAAGAAGTTCTGGGAATAGCTAACCGCCTATTTTCCTTTTGATACGACATGGACCGCATAGAAAATGACGCCTCCAATAATTTGTCCTTACCGTAGGAAAGTGTTTACCGAGCCGTTGTCTAGAAACGACAAGGGGATACGCAGACAGGCCCAGAGATTGACGGGAGGAATTTAGGAAATAAGCCGTTGAGATGGGCCCACGTGCCGTGATATACATACCATTTTTCATAAAGGTTTATTCAGGCATTCAAAATTTGATATGAGGGATACAAACATACACACACACACACACACACAAAGAGAAAGGTGATGTCATAAAAGTAAAAGGTAAAATTGTCCCTGTTCTTAACTAAGCACTACGCCATGAAGGTGTTACGTATAGACCCACGGGTATAAGCTTACTTTTTTTTTTTCAAAAGAACGGAAGTAGGCTGATAAATATCTGATCTGTGCTCCACTGCATTCCTGTTCTTTCTTCATTATATGATGAACACAAGATATTTGATCAGAAATCTAAATGCACACCGGTGATCTACAGTAATCTCGTCTAAGTAGCCTTTGCCTCCAATATCTACTTTAAACCTCTCCTTTAAATAACTCTTAAGAACCACAAACATCTTAAGGTTCGGCCACACAGAGTGCTACGTACGCTATGTTCGCTATACGAACAGAAAAATATCTCCCTTTATTGCCAATGTGACTGCCCACACAGACTTCCGTACTCTACTTACGCTATGTTCCCTATGTTAGCTGCGTCGCAGAGTGTACACAGCGCACGTAGCGTACGTAGCGAACATAGCGTAGCGCTCTGTGGCCGAATCTTTACGCCATGAGATTTTCAAGGAAAAAAAATTGTTTTGCAGTTCTTGGTTCTCCCGTCGTGACTTTGTCGCCGTAATGTTGTCCCTATTGATTTTAATACAATAGAAATAGAAATAAGACGTCTTGAAACCGCTTCGTATGTAATTTTCCATACTGTCTTTGATCCAAATATCCTCATGATCCAAATGAGAAGGAAATATCTGTTAATGATTAGAGACACCAGATATCGAATCCTTCTTGCACTGATTTCTTTATTTTAGTTTTCTAAAGACACTGCCAGTGAAAGTTGAAATAGCATTCTCTCTCCGTATATCTACCTGTCTGACTATTATAATTTCCAATTAGCGGAAAAAATCGAGTTGGAACAGCGATGACCTATATCCTTCGACTTGAATATCGGTTGGATATCGGCTATTAGAATTTTCATTTTCCTTATTTATTCAGGCATTCCAAATTATATTAGGACGTATCCTTGTAAGAGGCCATGACTGCGTCTGCGTCCTTCCTAACCCTTTCAAAATTCACTATATAAAGTCTATAATTATCATCCAAACTCATCTGAGGAAACCTTACAATGGAATTAGTGCCGCCAAATAACTGACAGGTATTACTTTTCTGCGCCGGTCACGGTAGCTGAGCGGTCTAAGGCATGTACTGTCTTCGCTCGGAAGCCGGTATCGTGGGTTCGAATCCCACTCAGGGCATGGATGCTTGTGTGCGTTTTTCTGTGTTTGTCTAGAGGTAGAGGCCTTGCGACGAGCTGATCACCCGCCCAAGGAGTCCTACCGTATGTGTAAGATCTAGAAAAACCGAAATGAACGGAGAAGTTCATGGAGGTAGGCCTAGGCCCAGTGGGGCTGTAGTGCCAAGAAAAAAAAATTACTTTTCTGCAGGCGTATGAATAAAAGTAACAGGGCCTAAATGCCAGCCACGCTTTAAACAGAAATAGATAAATGTGTGAAGAGTCTTAAACCCTTCCATGTAAATAAGAGCAATATATTCTTCTTCGGGATATTTTTCCACTTACAGCGCACGTTCCTGTCAACCGAATACTCCTACATTATGTAATAAAAATGGGGTAATTATTAGTTCTGAGGTTCTGTTCTCGGGTTCAGAACGAGCATGCCTTCTAGCTTCTAAAACTACTAATATTATCAATAAATTTATTCATATCATATCGCCACAAAATTGTCTGCGTCACTTTACAATGATTCATTAGTTGTCATGACATTAAAGCATTCTACGTGTACAACATATTTCAAATTTCTCACTCACTTTGCATTTTCAGATTTTAAGACCGTATTTTGAACGCCATAATTGTTGTTCCTATTTTATACTCGTAATATAGGAAAGTCTCCATGTTGATATGGCTGAAGACAGAGAGTTAAAAAATTTCGAAGAGAAGATTGATGTGTTGTTCTCCATAGTCAACAAAATAAACAGGTATCAAACTTAATTGTACTGTAACCTACGTTTGGGGCCATCATTTCCACCCCACAATATATTTTTTTTTGGGGGGGGTGAGTAATCGGTCTCCAGGGCATAGACTGCTAGCAGTGGTACATCACATTTTCATTACGTGAGGTTGAGTTTGTTTTTGAAGTAGATCAGGATTTAAGAAATGCACAATACCTCTTGCGGAGCCGGGATAGCTCAGTCGGTATAGCGATGGGATAGCTGGGCGGCCGAGGTTCAATTTCTGAGGGGCAAGAGATTTTTCTGCATTCCACAGCGTCCATACCGGTTCTAAGTTAAACCCAAACTTCTATCAAAGGGGCACCGGCACCTCTTTCCTCGGGGATTAAGTGGCCTTGGCGTGAAGTTGATCACTCACCTCCACATAGTGCTGAGGTCAAGAATGGTGGAGCTATGCCTCCACTCCCTCACACATCTTTATAGCGTGGTGGTTACCTGAATATGGGGAAAATTATGCCTTTAACTTTCATCCTACCTCTTTAGACCCAAGTGCATGATAGTTATACAGTTTTCCTAAAATCGATCAATTACAATACAAGAATGAGCAAGAACATTTGGGACGGCCAAAGAAAATGTGGAGAGATCAGCTCGGAACATAACAGGTTTCTTAGTCTAATGCATGAGGAATAAGAATAATAAGAATACTGAATCAGGGATTGATCGGACAACTAATAGGACTTTGAAGAAGGAACACATTCATTCGGTGAGGTAAGGTAAAGCTGCCCCTGTACCTAATTAATTAAGCACAACGTCACCAAGCGTAATTGTCCTAACAAAAAGGCCGTACTTAAAGGGATTACAGGCTAGACTCTCCACTCATTTAAAATATCTGAAAGTGTTTTATTAAAACTGAAACTGAAAGAGGGAATAGTGGGATATTTAATTTGTGAATTATTTCATAGGCGTACTTTTGTTGACTAATTTCTCTCCACTGAAACATCGGATACGCTAGTGGGTTCATGGCCCACAGTTTGTACACGGCGGGAAGTGCTACGAAGGTGGAAGACGTATAAAATGACGAGAAAGTGGGCAACTCGGCTTCAGTTTAGATTTGTGTCGCACTGAGTGCATTGTGTGATTTGTTGCAAGAGAGTGGAGTTGTGTGATTAACAGAATGCTCACTAGGAGGACTGTGGCGCTCGCGTCACTGCTGGTCATTGCCCGCCTGATGCACAACGGTAAGGAGACACGGCTCAGGAAGGTGATGGTCACTCTGTGCATGGAATTGTGGCTTTGGAATGTGGATTCGTTTATTGTTTTCATGTGGCGAAGTGTCACTTTGGCTAAGAATGTGAGAGAATGGTGATACGTGTGGGAGAATAACACATTCGATGTGGACGGTTGACCGAGTGTGTGTTTTCAGTACGCGTTCAGGAGATAGCCGGTTGGACTTCCAGCCGGAGACCAAAATATATATGTTTTCGTGGTCTTCTTTTTCACTGTGTCTAGGATAATAGTATTAAAAAAGCCGAAAGCCACCTCACCCCCACCCCACTGCATTCGATGCCAAGTAAATTAAGCAAATAACCAAACCAACCAACTCCGGATGTTGGTAGTTACTGATACAGCAATATTATTAACAACCACAAGCTTGCTGTATCGTTTCTATGTCCCTGTAGGAGTCGATAAATGTAAATGACTGGTATCTTATGAATGACAGTTTCGAAATAAATCAATGTTAATGGATACGATTTTTTTTTTCATTTAATGACGCTGCCGGCATCTAGGATGCATAGCGTTGAATGGTAGAATGATTAATGCCTGATGAATTTGAAAGGATTTTAAAAAAGCGGCCGTCGCTTAGTCGAGGTTCTATGCCTCTATTTCCCTAGAAGGACTGAGGAAAACTAAGAAAACTTTCAGTGAAAACAGTCGGTGTTCTGGCAGATTTTCAATCCAACCTCGTCCCGCATACATCTCAAGATCGTTGCCACTACACCAACCTGCTCAGCGAGAAATTATCGAGCCGTATTAATATCATAAGATTGGGGAAGAGTTGTATTCCATGTTTCTTACTCGTTATTTTACAGCATCTGTGTTTCTCTTGCATCAAGGGTAATACTGAGCTATATACCAAATGCCTGTGTTTATTTCTCGGTTTATTTAAAAAATACAATTTCAATTAGACAAGTCGTGTGTTGAATAAAATGTCAGCATGATGAATATTCTATGTGACGGCTTTTTCGAGGAAGTATCTGACATATTCTAGTACAATTCAACGACAATTTTATGAAGTGACCGAGAAAAAACAAGAGAACTCTCAATGTACTCGTGGTCAAGATCGAAACTGGGTACCACCCAAACACTTCCGAAGCAAGAACACAACTCCCTGATTCCATTCGGTGGGTGCTTCTATTTTTAGCCGTATCATGTAAGGAGTGTGCCTGGAACTCAGGCGAGCGAGTTGTACGAACAGTGACTAATACAAGTACAGTTACGTACAGTTACGTAATGGTAACAAGTAAAGCGCTGTCATCTCCTACGGCCCGAAAGACACGAGTATTTAAGTGCATTTTTATAGTATGATATACGTAAAGATTATATAATACAAGAATATAGGGTTGCACTAAAACTGAGTAGAATATTTATTCAGTCAGTTATTTTCACACTGATCCATTTATTTTGTTTGCGGTTTCTCCAACGCCGCTGAAATATTTCGAACTAATTTTAACCTTATAGCATTGAAAGGGAGGATAAGTGATTATGGTTTGGAAAGAATGTCAACGGACCAGGTCTTGGTCTAAGTAGAGGTATTTTTCTAATCCGAAATTTGCGTGGAGGCACTCAGAAAAACCATAAAAATCCTCAGTCAGGATGGCGGTTCTCTCGCTCCGGATTCGAAATGGTCACCTTCAGAAAACAAGTCAGCAGCGTTACCGCTTGAGACAACTTGCTCGATCCTCATGTTCTCCATTTTAATTTACTGCGGAGACAAAGCATCTCATACAGGACTACAGGCTCACTCCTCTCCTTCCGGTATATAATGACGCTGTCAGTATCGAACGGATGATAAACGAATATGTAACAATTGGTAAAATTGAAGATGGCAGGGGAAACCGAGGTACTCAGAAAAGTACAGCCCCAACATCATTTTATTCACCACAGATTCCACATGACCTGAACTGGCATCGAACCCGGATTGCAGCGGTAGAAAGCAAGCCGAGCTATGGTACGGCAGAATTAAACATGTTTAATAATTTTTCTTCCTTGTGGTCCATCAAATATTCATATCGATACATGTTTTAAATTAAATTTATGAGCCTGAATAAGGCTTCTAGCCGATCACAGTGGCCGCGCGGTCTAAGGCATGAAATGTCTTCGCCCGATATAACATTGGGATCATGGGTTTGAATTCCACTCGAGGCATGGATGTCTGCCTTTATTCAGGGGCCTTGCGAAGGGCTAATAACCCATCCAAGGGGTCCCTACCGACTGTCTATAAGATCTAAATTCAAGAATTAATTATTTCTGAACATGCACAGGCCAGAGAGGCTTATTCGTCAAGGTAGAAGAAAAAAAAATAAGGCTGCATTGTACATCATGTGATAAATATTTTGTTAAGCCAAATCTTTTGTTTGACAACTTGATAAAGCTCAACCTATAAAGTAATGTCTGATATTGAGAGTTACGTACCAAGATTAAATTCACACAATTTTTAGTGTGGACCCCATCCACAATTCCAATTTTAATAAAAAGAAATTTCCATTATGTTCTGTTATGAAACATGCGGTCGAACAGACATGGCCTCCTTCTTGTGCGTTTATTTTGTATCAAACATGTACAAAAACTATCTAAAATTATGTGGGCTAGAAGCCCAACCAGGGAGTGCTAATGAGTGGGGTCGGCATTGCTAATTGCATTCAGCACAGAAATGATTTTCGCATCCCAATTGCCATTTTATCTGAAAGAGGAATGTTTATTTTTGAACACGACTGCCACTGTACAGAATTTTCCAAGGAAGAACCTCAATTTCTTACACCTCTGTCGGTTTTTTCTTTTGGGGGGGGTAATTTGTATTACATAAAATAATTTCGTACACAATTTGTGGGTACATTTACAATCTGTTTCTTTAAAAACTTTTCACACGCCTCGCTCCAGTGGTCGATTAGGCCCAGTTACTGCTTTGGAGCGAAGAGTTATGAAAAGATTTTGACAAACCGCCACGTTGTTTTTTTACATTCTACCAAAGTATAGCCCAAAAAGATTTTATCTTCAATAACTCCTTTTACCACATCACGTTTCAAGATTTTATATGAAGTACTACTCTTCAGAAGTTCGTATAACCGCCATGTTGGGTGCCCAACAGTCTTGCAGAAAAGAGAGGTAATGCTATGGATGATGAAAGAGAACAAACAGGCAGACGGACGTGAATTTCCAGATTGGGTAAAGCTATTGTACCTATGTGAGTTTTGAGGTTTCCGAGGTTTCCGAGGTTCTTAGTGTTCAGAATGTGGTCTTCTAGGTTATAACATCATGTAGTCTTGTAAATAGATACAAACGAGTCGGAGGAAGTTGCTACGTCCATCTTGATCTTATTCTAATACCATCTAATACAATTGTGGTCTTATGAGTTGTGACAGCGTCATACTGTTGGATAGATACGTGTATTTTGGATAAATATGCTGCCTCCATCTTAGGTTCAGATGTGGTCTTCTGGGTTGCGACACCGTCCATATTGTTTTGTTGGAACATACCAAAAATTTGAAATAGGGTGTTCTACGTCACTCTAAAACATTGGTACCTACTTACACGACTACACGTTGTCTCAATCCAGAAGACCACAATCTGAATGAATGTACCTCCTTTGTCTGGAACTGCACTGAACATTTAAAATATAGTAGAATGCTTAACATAATTTACTCTCCAAGAGAATGACAAAGCATATATTTTACTTTGCAGGAAACCATAACCTTACTGTAATATTTTATAACGAGGTTAAAGGAAGCAGTTGCCTCAGAACTCTAAACGACAGCATTAATTCTGACGAACTCTGTAGAGGGACGTTATTGGTTATGTATTTGTGGTTTCGTTAAATTCATTACCACTAGCTAAACTGCGGATCGAGAGCCGCATATGTACCTCTTGAATTCTTGATGCCTCTCGAAGGACAGTACATTAGTCAATCAAAATTTTAAGGAAGAATTAAAAATAAAAAGAATTTTGTGTGGAAATCACGTACCGAAACATACACGTCATCCAATCCTTGTCTACTTAAGGCCCCCAAACTTCTCAAAATTGTCTTACAAGACTCCGATATTGAGTAAGTTTCATTATCCGTGCTATGCCTATATATAGCGCCAAATGAAGGACTAATCCGAGAGGATGCGGAACAAATCGGTCGTGGCCAATGTCAGGGTACTCTCCGGGTCTTCGCTTGGAGAAAGAGAAAAACCGTGAAACCTCAGAATGTTCGATGTTAAGATAGATATTCGAACCAGGAACCTCCAGAATACAACAGGAAAGCGTTACTGCTTCAGCAAAGTTGATCTGTAGAGGGAGGATAAGAATTTCAACATCACTTCCTAATTACCTTACATGAGATGGCATTAAAAGCTCATAGGTTTTAGTCAGGAAGAAACTGCTCTGATGAAAGGACTCTAATGTGTTTCAACAGACATTTTATAGCCTAATATTTTAGATTAACCGTCACATAAATTCATACTCAAAGACATTCCTGCTTATATTCCTAATCATATATTACATGTATAATACACAGATACGGTAAAAATGTCCACTATTTTGAATCTTCTCCTCACAGCGTGGACACTTTCACCACTTTTTGTATACTCCGCATGAAGATGACGACCGGTTTACTGCCGAAACGTGCAGTGTGTGATTAGGGATAAAAATAAAAGGTTTTAATTATGAATTTGTGCAAAGAACAGTCTCAGTTACGAGAGAGAAACAACCAAAATACAATCATACAACAAAATAGTCAAGTCTATATTACAATCGTGCACTAAAATGACCTGATTGTGGGCTAATTCTGAAAACATCTCCCTCATATGAATTCCTGCCGATCACGGTGGCCGAGCGGTCTGAGGCATCAACTGTCTTCGCTCGCTCGAATGCTGGGATCGTGGGTTCGAATCCGACTCAAGGCATGCATATCTGTGTGTGCGTTTATTCCGTGTTTGTGTTGTCCTGCCTGTAGGTAGCGACCTTGCGACGGGCTGAT